GAGTGGAGCTGCTTTAGTTTATCTAAGAAAGGTTTGTTTCTCCATCAGTGATAATTTGATGCATATAAATCATAGCAGCCACTGGTACAACTACAAGTGTTTGACTTATTTTAACTTTGAGTGTCTTTAGTTTGATAAAGTCTGAAGTTTGTGTCTTTATTGTAGTGCTCTGTACGCTCTTCTGCACTGGACGATCTCAAGGTGACTTAAGAGTTTTTACTTTTTCTGTCCTTTAATTTATTTGGTAAAGATTCGTCTCAAAATACTGCAAAAATCTTAATTACATTTGACTTATGTTTTATTTTTATTTATTATTCAATATATGAACAGTGTATGAACATACTGTCACAGATTGTGTCGTGCAAAAGTGTTTCAGATTGTTAACTTTGTGTTTGTGTTGGATTCTAGATGCTGTGCTCACTATTGAACCCAACTGGTCCAGTTATTTCATTGGAGAGTTTGTTACCTTCAAGTGTGACATGAATGAAGGAGAAGACACTGACTGGTATTACACAGTAAACTTGGATGGTCAAGCATTTATCCTCTACAGTGAACACACAGATCACAAATTACAACAACAAGTCAAAGTGGTGAATACCAGTGCTCTGGTCTCAGGAAGCACCCACGTGTTACAAAGAACAGTAACACTGTCTCTATAACTGTGTTAGGTAAGCCCTCAGTGACCAATAATGTGATGATTCCTGTTGAAAAAAATTATAAAATTCTGAATACATTTAATAATTGTTGTCCTTGAAACTTGAAACTTTAACAAGAACTACTGTACATTACTGGTTACTTGCTCACAAGTACTACTATGCTCACAGCCTGTAATTTATTATTACGACATGTGTTTATTTAATGTATAACAAAAAAAAAAAATTGGATTCAATTGATTTTAAGTAGGGAAAAGAAGAAACATCAAAAGCTTCATAAAATTTAGGGTGATGATGTTTCTGTTGTCTAAACCTGAAACTAGGCAGATCCCTCTGAACCCATCATTGTGTTTCCTTCAACAGTGAACTGCATTAGTTTACATTCAGTGTGACTGTGCGGGACCTGCGGTTCTGTGCAGGGAAGGCGAACGCACCACACAACATCCACAATCACACCCAACGACTTAAATATTGTACTGGGTCCTGTGGTTGGGGTGTTGATGTGCACAGAACAATAAAAATGATCAAAATGCCACTGGGTCTGCTGTGGTCGTTTACAGTGACTTATTCAGGCCTGAGATTGGACAAACATTTATACTGTTTATACTTTATACTTATTTAGAGATCTACAACCTGAATTACTGCAGATCTGAGACAGAAAAAATGCAAACATCTGAAGTTTATGAAAGTGAAGAGAAATTTGTTGATTTTATTTTGTGGGAATTTGAAATGAAAACATATTATGAAAACATAAGCAGTGTTTTCCCTGTATATTGGATCAGGTAAATATTTTCTTTCCTTCTTTTTCATAACATCAGATAAACCCAGGGCCACACTGACAGCAGGAACAACAATCATACCAGTAGGGGGCAGTGTGACACTGACCTGCTCTGTGCAGAGCTCTGATGGATGGAAATATGAGTTGTTCAGACGAACCCAAAGAACCTATGAAGTTCAAATCAGAGATCAACAAAACAGAGATATCAGAGTATCTCAAGGAGGAATCTACCGCTGCAGAGGAACAAGAGGAAACCCAGTTCACTACACTGATAGAAGTGATGATGTCACCATTGAGATAACCTGTGAGTTCAGTCATTTAGTTTGAAATATACATTCACTCATGATTATCAAACATACAATGTGAAGTTTTCTGTGTTGATTTCATGTTTCTATTTGTATCTCAACTGTTAATATGTGTAAACAGTTTCCAATAAAGTTGTTGTAAAACAACGACCCAACTGGCCTCAGATATTCAGAGGTGAGACGATCACTCTGACATGTGAGGTGCAGGAAGGAGGTGAAACCACTGAGTGGTGGTATGAATGGAGAGGACCCAGGACACCCCCACAGTGGACACACAATAATGATGTGACATTCAGAGTTTCTGAGTCCAGCAGTGGAGACTACATGTGTAAGAGTCGACGCAGAGATGACTCATATTCTTCAACAGAGTGGAGTGAAGCCTTCACATTGTCAGTATCAAGTAAGTCATGTTTGTTGTGTGATCTCCATTTGACAAATGTCGTCATGGTCAGCACAGGATGAATTCAATGGTCTACAAAGCATGTTACATTGTTAGTCAGACAAAGAGCTGCAGCTGATAGTAGCCTCATTGTAGACAGTTTGTCACCACTTTGTGTCATGAACCTTCAGCTGGTATAGAGACACCAATGCTGACCTGCTGCTCCATCACCTGAGGACAACAATGACACAAACAGGATAAAAATATAGTTCTTCAAACTCCCTCAACAAATGAAAACAAATATGAAACTTCTTTAAAAAAAGAATAAAAGTCATTCAATCATCTCATCAAATACTGGCGTAGATTAAAATTAATCTGAAGCACACACACACGAGTGGGTTTGATAGAAAGGTTTTTGATTTTATTTCTATTGAACTCACTGATTTGCATGTTAACCTCAAAGTGATTTTATGAAAGCAAATCAAACTCATTCCAACTTCTTCCTGAAAAAGTCTCATTTGTACAGAAAACGACTTTGTAGAGAAAAGTGTGTTTATGTTCATTCTTTAAAAATAAGTTTCTGTTTGTGATTCAGCTGTTTTACACTCACTTTATTTGAAAACAAAATAAAATAAAACAAACAAACAAACACAGGTAAACAACAGAAGCTCAGATGTCCCAGTTTTACTGCTGGGCTCAGATTACTAACAGTTAACAGTTCACCCATCTCTGCATAAATAAAAGAATTAAAACAAATAATGTGTTATAATTTTAAAAATTGTACAAATACATGAAAGTGATGAACGTCAGCTTAACATTTTAGTTTGCTGTTGTAGTAGCTGTGTACAACATTTAAAATGAAATGTTAATGATAGAAAATAACTTCCAGTCAGATTTTGTGTGTGAACTTGATTTTTTCAAATAACTTTTTAATAATATTTGTAGTAAGACGACTTTAAAAACACACACATACTTCTCTTTCAAACACTCTCCTCCCACTCCGATAGAAAGTAAAGAAGTTGTTCACGGCACTGTAACTATTAAAGCAGTAATGAAAAGAAAACAGAGATGAGGCAGTCAAACTATTTTTGATTTGAAAAAAAAACTTTTTTTTTTTTTTCTAGGCAGTCGAAGTCTCACATGCAGAAAAATTACACGTTGTTTTCTAAATTGGTCAATGTTTAACACATAATCAGTGCTGTAAGAAATTTCCTTCTTAGACAACCAGCAATTTAATGATTAACTTTTTCTGTATCTTATACAGCAAGTAAACCCAGAGCCACACTGACAGCACACAGTTCAATCATACCAGCAGGGGGCAGTGTGACACTGAGCTGCTCTGTGGAGGGCTCTGCTGGCTGGAAGTTTGACTGGTTCAGACGTGATTCAGTCTCTTCTAAAGCTCAGCTCATGAGAGGAAATGAAGGAAAAACAGTTATTATTGTCTCACAAGGAGGTCTGTACCACTGCAGAGGAGGGAGAGGAGATCCAGTTTACTACACAGAGGACAGCAGTGACGTCACAGTTACAGAAACTCGTGGGTTCAATTATTTTATTTCTGCCAAACTGAGAGATGTCATTTTGTGTTCTGTGCTAACAATTTCATTCACCAACTGTGAGTTTATTAACCCTGAAATGAGAGACACCTCCTGACAAATAGAAGAATTTATTCCGTCTTATTTTTTTTATCTTTATGTTTCTTTTTGTGTCTAACTGGATATTTTCCTGTGAACAGTTCCCAGTAAGCCCACTGTGACCCTGCAGCCATCCTGGACTCAGATATACAGCGGTGAGACGGTCACTGTCAGATGTGAGATTCAGGGAGGTGAAGGAGCTCAGTGGACGTATGAATGGAGAGCAGCCAAGTTAAACACACCTCCAACATCCAATGAATACAGAATCATCAGAGCTACTGAGTCTGACAGTGGAGGATACAGCTGCCGGGGCAGGAGGGACTATTTCTTCTCAGAGTGGAGTGATATCATCACACTGACTGTGTCATGTAAGATCTTTCATCCAGATTATTTCAAATTACTTATTGTGTTAATCTAACCTTTAACTGGGAAAATGAGTCGTCTGCCTATTAAATAAAATCACAAATAAGATGTTAATTCATTTATTTTTTATTCTAGTAAACTTTCAAACATGATAACAGACAGTTTGTGTTTATATTACAAAACTGATCATTTAACCATTTGTGGACAGGCTGCAGTCTTCAGTGTCCATGAACAGCATCAACATGCTGTTTCAGACGTTTCTTCTCAGGGTAGAAATTATTTCTTTTCTTCTTGTATAAAAATATTTTAATGTTAGTTTTATTTCAAAATTAATGGTTAAAAACATGTAACACATGTGAACATCATAGAAAAAGCAAGTGAATGTTTCAGTTCAACAAGCGCTCCAGTCAGACATTAAACTTCAGTAACACTGTGCAGTTATGAAACTTTAATCTGAGTCAAACTGATTTAATCAGCATTAAATAAATCAATGAAATAAACATCACCCCACAGATACAACCTCAGTGAATTATGTCCAGTGTTCACTCACCCGCAGGGGCGTGCTGGGTGTTTTTTATATATATATATAACCTAAACAAAAATGTTGCCTTACTTGAAAAACTGTAACCAAGCATTTAAAACAAGAATAGAAAAGAGAAAGGGAACAACACAAGAAACATGCTTGTATATTCTGAACAGACAGGAAACGCAAACTCTGCTGCGGTTGAAGTTACAGCAGATGTTTGAGCTCAGTGTAAAAGGGAAGGAAGAATGGAGGCCACTGAGAAGAAGAAGTTATGGTCTTATCTATATTAAGTACATCATCTTTCTGTTCTGCTTAATTATTTTTAACAGCGTAGCAGTGGATCAGAGTGCAGCAGAGCTGGATGTGAGGATGAAGCACTCTTTGCTCTGCATGCTGAAGTTATTCTGTAAGTACATTACTGACTTGGTATTGAATAAAGAAATAGTTTTTCATTTGTGTAAATTAGAGTTTTTGAGTGGGGGAACAACTTTGTCTAAGAATTTAATTGCTTTTACTTGTGTTCAGTTGTTTTACACTATCAGTTTAAAGTTTATAAGAACAGAAATTTGAGAATGAGCATGAACTGTGTGATCTTAGAATTCACCTTTTTGTAAATGTTTTATTTTGTAATGAAATGATTTTCTTTCACTGTGATGATGTTTCAGTCTTGATTTTAGTGCTCCGTACATTCTTCTATGGAAATGCTGCAGGTAATATGTGTTTTTTTCTTCTTCTTTTGTTCCTCTATATTTAATACTAACAGTATTGAACTTATATACACCCTGATAATTTAGGTTGTATCTATAATTCAATTCAATTCAATTTTATTTATATAGCGCCAAATCACAGCATAAGTCGCCTCAAGGCGTTTCATAGATACAGAGAAAAACCCAACAATCATATGACCCCCTATGAGCAAGCACTTTGGCAACAGTGGGAAGGAAAAACTCCCTTTTAACAGGAAGAAACCTCCGGCAGAACCAGGCTCAGGGAGGGGCGGCCATCTGCTGCGACCGGTTGGGGTGAGAGAAGGAAGGCAGGATAAAGACATGCTGTGGAAGAGAGACAGAGGTTAATAACAGATATGATTCAATGCAGAGAGGTCTATTAACACATAGTGAGTGAGAAAGGTGACTGGAAAGGAAAAACTCAATGCATCATGGGAATCCCCCGGCAGCCTACGTCTATTGCAGCATAACTAAGGGAGGATTCAGGGTCACCTGGTCCAGCCCTAACTATATGCTTTAGCAAAAAGGAAAGTTTTAAGCCTAATCTTGAAAGTAGAGATAGTGTCTGTCTCCCGAATCCAAACTGGAAGCTGGTTCCACAGAAGAGGGGCCTGAAAACTGAAGGCTCTCCCTCCCATTCTACTTTTAAATACTCTAGGAACAACAAGTAGGCCTGCAGAGCGAGAGCGAAGTGCTCTAATAGGGTGATATGGTACTACAAGGTCATTAAGATAAGATGGGGCCTGATTATTTAAGACCTTGTATGTGAGGAGCAGGATTTTGAATTCAATTCTGGATTTAACAGGAAGCCAATGAAGGGAAGCCAAAACAGGAGAAATATGCTCTCTCTTTCTAGTCCCTGTCAGGACTCTTGCTGCAGCATTTTGGATTAGCTGAAGGCTTTTCAGTGAGTTTTTTGGACATCCTGATAATAATGAATTACAGTCGTCCAGCCTGGAAGTAATAAATGCATGAACTAGTTTTTCAGGGTCACTCTGAGACAGGATATTTCTAATTTTAGAGATGTTGCGCAAATGGAAGAACGCAGTCTTACATATTTGTTTAATATGTGCATAGAAGGACATGTCCTGGTCAAAAGTGACTCCAAGGTTCCTCACAGCATTACTGGAGGCCAAGGTAATGCCATCCAGGGTAAGAATCTGGCTAGATACCATATTTCTAAGCTTTTCAGGGCCGAGTACAATAACCTCAGTTTTATCTGAATTAAGAAGCAGAAAGTTAGCGGCCATCCAGGTCTTTATGTCTTTAAGACATTCCTGCAGTTTAACTAATTGGTGTGTGTTATCTGGCTTCATGGACAGATAGAGCTGGGTGTCATCTGCATAGCAGTGAAAATGTATGCTATGTCTTCTAATGATGCTGCCTAAGGGAAGCATGTATGTGGAATATACGAAGCACAGGTACACGCACACGCAGGTTGTTATTGCCAAGTTCCACATTTATTCACACGTTTCACAGGTTTATGCTTTTCACATAGACTGACAGCTCGTTCCCAGCTGACGTGTGTCGTTTTTCCCCGTTGAGCCCACTGCACCACTCCTCCCCTGCAGCCGCGCCCGGGGCCCCGCCTCCGCCACAATGTATAATGTAAACAGAATTGGTCCTAGCACTGAACCCTGTGGAACTCCATAATTAACCTCAGTGTGTGAAGAGGACTCTCCATGTACATGCACAAACTGGAGTCTATTAGATAGATATGATACAAACCACTGCAGTGCAGTACCTGTAATACCTACAGCATGTTCTAATCGCTCTAATAGGATATTATGGTCAACAGTATCGAACGCTGCACTAAGGTCTAGCAGGACAAGCACAGAGATGAGTTCACTGTCAGAGGCCATAAGAAGATCATTTGTAACCTTCACTAAAGCTGTTTCTTTGCTGTGCTGAGCTCTGAAACCTGACTGAAACTCTTCAAATAAACCATTCCTCTGCAGATGATCTGTTAGCTGTTTGACAACTACTCTTTCAAGGATTTTTGATATGAAAGGAAGGTTGGAGATTGGCCTATAATTAGCTAAGACTGCTGGGTCTAGAGATGGCTTTTTGAGTAAAGGTTTAACTACAGCCAGCTTGAAGGCCTGTGGTACATAGCCGATCATTAGAGATAGGTTGATCATATTTAAGATCGAAGAATTAATTAATGGCAGGACTCCTTTGAGCAGTTTTGTAGGAATGGGGTCTAAAAGACACATTGATGGCTTGGAGGAAGTAATTATTGAAGTTAACTCAAGGAGATCAATTAGAGAAAAAGAGTCTAACTTAACATCAATGGTACTAAGAGTAGCTGTAGATAATATTACATCTGTGGGATGATTATTGGTAATTTTTTCTCTAATGATAAAAATATTTGTGAAGAAGTTCATGAAGTCATTACTAGTTAACGTTAAAGGGATGGTTGGCTCAAAAGAGCTCTGACTTTTTGTCAGCCTGGCTACAGTGCTGAAGAGAAACCTGGGGTTGTTCTTATTTTCTTCAATCAGTGATGAATAGTAAGATGTTCTGGCTTTGCGGAGGGCTTTCTTATAAAGCAGCAAACTATTTCTCCAGGCTAAATGATGATCCTCTAAATTTGTGACACGCCATTTCCTCTCCAGATTACGAGTCATCTGCTTTAGGGTACGTGTTTGAGAATTATACCACGGAGTCAGGTACTTCTGATCTGAGACCTTAGTTTTCACAGGAGCTACAGTATCCAGAGTCGTACGTAGTGAGGAGGTAAAGTTATTAACAAGATAATCGACCTCTGTTGGGGTAGCGTTCAGATAGCTGCTCCGCTCTGTGTTGGTACAGGGCATTGAAGATGATAACAGTGGGTGGATTATATTCTTAAACTTAGTTACAGTGCTTTCAGAAAGACATCTACTTTGATAAAGTCTACTCTTCACCGCTGTGTAATCAATTATTGTAAATGTAAATGTTATCAGGAAATGATCAGACAGGAGAGGGTTTTCAGGAAACACTGTTAAATGTTCAGTTTCTATGCCATACAGTGGGGCAAAAAAGTATTTAGTCAGCCACCGATTGTGCAAGTTCCCCCACTTAAAATGATGACAGAGGTCAGTAATTTGCACCAAAGGTACACTTCAACTGTGAGAGACAGAATGTGAAAAAAAAATCCATGAATTCACATGGTAGGATTTGTAAAGAATTTATTCGTAAATTAGGGTGAAAGTTAGGGTAAAAGCTTCGAGTAATGAACGGTTTTTCAACACAGGCTTCAATGCTTCAGAAAGCTTCATTTGGCCATCACTACTAATCAAGGTTGTTGTCATGGTGGGCTGTGTGGCAGGCAAGCAGGAAAAGGACCCAAAATGCAGGACTCTCAAACACAGATGTAAAATTCAAAGCGCAGTTTCATTGCTGTGAAAAACCTCTTGAAAAATTAAACTGACCAATAAAACAAAACTCAGGAGAGAGGAACTAAGCACTGAAACAAGAAAAGCTAAACAGGAGCATGAGACACACAAAGCATGGTTAGGCTATAATGGAACAGAGAGCACAGGAAAACACAGGGCTTATATACACAGGGGAACACAGAAGCAATATAACACATGAAACAGAAGACAGTAACTTAAACTAGAGGCCAGAACAACAAATAACGTAAAGAGAACAAAACCAAGAATAATCCTTAATACAAAATCTAACCAGCACAACTCAAAACCCCAAACAAATCATAATTTAGAAAAACAAAACAGAAACAGAAAAAGCTGGGTCAAAATGACTCACAACCGTAACAGTTGTGTGTTCTTTTTATTTAATTTTATTATTATTTCTTTAAATCAAATGTCAAAGGCATTTATAGAAATGGGGTTTTTTTTTTTTAGGTTTTTTTTTACACTTTTTTTAGTGTTCAAACCTGATATACAATGTATAGTGTTACTAAATGTGCCCCCCAGGTGTACAAAAAGCAGCAGTAGCTAAATCACCTCAGAAAGCCTCTGGGTACCTTGGGGAAAACATCACATTGCCCTCAGCAGTCGACTCATCGTGGAGTCTCATCAGAATTGAGTGGTCAATTTTCACCAACGTCGCTTTTATTGCCACTTATCGCAATGGGAAAATAAACACTGAACGTGTCCCTCAGTTCACAGGGAGACTCACTCTTAACACAAAATCAGGTGTCATTTATCAGCTTTTTTATTGCAAAGGAATTGCAGTTTTATTTATTTCTTGATTTGGTTTCAGTGTATTTTATTCTATAGGTGACCTAACAATTCACAACCTGAAGCAAAGCGATGCCACTGTAGAAGTCTTCAACAGTGAGGGTGAAGACAAAATACATCAAGTCACAGCAAAACGTAAGTTGTATAAATAAAAGTGTATTGATAATAACAACACACACACACACACACACACACACACACACACACACACACACACATATGAGATGCACAGATGCAGATGCAGAAAAGAGGAAGAAATTATGTAGCAAATACAAAAAAATTAGGAAGTCATAGCACTTTGACTGTGTTTCACGTCAACTACCATGAGACTACCGACCCTATTTATTCTTTTCTTTAAAGGTATGTCCTGTGTACACTATCTGAAGCTATTTATGTAATGGTCCTGGGTCGTCGACCCAGCGTTTTGTGTTTATTTTCCTCTGTTCTAGTTATTCTGTGTCCTCCCCCCTTGTGTCCGGTTCGGGTTCTAGATTTCCCGTTTTGTTCTGAAAGTCTGTGTCTGTTGTCATTGTGTTCAGCTTGTCTCCTCCAGTCCTCATGTGTATTAGGTTCAGCTGTTCTTCCCTCCTGTGTGTGATTACCTGATTACCTTGTGTGTGTATATTTAGTTGGTGTCGGTCTGTGTTCATTGTCGGCTCGCCTGTGTTCATCTGCATTCATTCGTGTATCTCTGTGTTCTATGGTGTTCCTGTGTCTCTCTGCCCCGCACCCCTTTTGTATGGTCTCAGGTTTGTCAGTTAGTTCTCCCAGTTTAGGTTTCTTCAGTTGTTTTGTCGTACCTCGTTGCCTATTTCTGCCACTGCCACCTTGTAAATAAACATCAGTTTGCTGCATTTTGGGTCCTCCTTTTCCTCCACTCCACACGGCTCACTCCGCCAGCCGTGACAATTTATCAGACACAGATGTGCCAGACCTGGAGATTACAGTTTTTTACAGACGCTAGGACACATTTCTCAATACTTAGGTCACTTTTGCAAAACTCCTCACATGGTGAGCACAACAGAAGTCTATGTGGGCTAAACTGAGGACCAGTTATCATTGTTTTGGCACAAAATGCATTCAATGACTACATCTCTCAAATTTCATGAATTATCTTCTCACTCAGACACAACAACTGCCAAAAACCTTTGTACGGACAGGACATTTTGCATGTACTTACATACTGTTTTCAAAACTGTTAAACTCATGGCCAAAACAATAACACAATGCAAAACTTAAAAAGACAGCAAAATCCAACAGCAATATTTTATTGAAACATATCTTAAATCTAAAAATGCAGTTTAACCAGCCACAGCTGATTCTCATTGTAGATGAACATCTACACAGGTGTTACTCCTTCAATTTTTCAACTCCTTCAATTCTGGCAGCCAGAAGATTCTTTCCTAGGTGTATCGCCCTAGATGACATAAGATGAGATGTGGATGAGAACCTGTGGCCAAATGGAGAAGACCGAGTAGATTAGCATTACTATTGTATGTGTATCAGTGGATGGTGTGTATACAAATTCTTGTATTTTGGGATTACTTAGTGCAAAAAAATAAAACTACATAAACAAATATTAACGAATTCTGCATGATGTCTGATTCATTCCAGTAACATACATTGAAATTATAAACAGAGATGTGTCCTTGTTTTACACAAGAAAACACTGTTGTTAGTGTTTTTTAGGTCATTGTTTTGTGGGTGACAAAATATGTTTGTTGGCTGTCAACCTTTGCTAGTGTTCTTGAATAATGAGTTTATTTGAGACCTGGGGTCCGTTCTTCGTACCTCGCTTACTACATCCAAGATTAAATCATCGCGCTAACTTTGAGCTCGCTATTCCGGTTCTGCTTTTCAAGGCACCCAAAGTGCTTTACAATACAACTATTCATTCACTCTCACAGTGGAGGCAGCTACGGTTGTAGCCACAGCTGCCCTGGGGCAGACTGACAGAAGCGAGGCTGCCATATCGCGCCATCGGCCCCTCTGGCCAACACCAGTAGGCGGTAGGGTAAATATATTATATTATATTATATCCTCTTTCACATTAGAGCCACGACAGGACCCACTAGAACATGGGAACAAGTAAAAGTGAAATATAAGAATATTCTACAGAATGGTAATATTTATCACTTATATTGCTTTTAGTCTCTTGGAAAGAGACCCTGAAATAATCTGTTTGTTTGTTCATAACAGCAACCAAGAAAAGGGCAGAGCACAAAAAGACATGTGGTGGTCCTGCACCTCCTCGTCAACAAGTTGGTTAAGTAAATAATACCCTCACGGGAAAATCGATATCTCTCTATGAGCACACTGTCGCGCTGAGCTAAAGGATCCTGTCTATCCCGCAATATACGCTGGATTCTGAGGACTCTCCTTATCAATCTCTCACCTTCCGCAATGGGTTGCTCGCGTAAACGGACATGGCTGCGACAGGCTTCCCAAATCCACCTTCGCTTTTATAGCCGTGGTCTCTCATCTTGATTACATGAAGTAATACCATTACTACTCTAAAATATGAATTACATCTGAAATAATCAAATACATGAAATAGAATGTTAATAGTAAATTTCCCTTTTTTTGGGAAATGACCTGTATGTATCTGTATGGAATCAATAAAAGGATCAAGTACTGCATTATCTTTAGTTACATTGATGTTATTTATTTATGGAAAAACAGTGGTAAAATATCGCTGTTGCTTTCGTATACATGAAGCGGACATACTTGAGTGGCCACGATCTAATCTTGTTAACATAAAGTAAACCTGCTCCCGAGCAGGTTTACGCTTACAGATCTGTTGCTATGACAGCAAGTCCCGGATGAGCTTCGGAGAACCGAACGATCCAAGATCACGCGAAATCGTCAACAATCAAATCCAGCTAACTTACTTAGCGAGGTACGAAGAACGGACCCCTGAATAAAGTGTTTTGGTAGTTGTAGTGCATTTTGAATGTGAAATGAACTGCTTTGCCAAGCTGAAGGTCAGTTAGGAGAATTGTGTGAAGAGTTTTGCAAAAGTGACCTAAGTATTGTGAAATGTGTCCTAGCGGCTGTAAAAAACTGTAAATACGTTTTGAAATATTTTTACATTTTGCTTTAAAAATGAGTAACTTCCTGGTTTCTTAGGTAGTAGTGCAAAACTTAACTTTTGAATTAATCGCCTCACATGCTAGACATAAATGATGTAAAAAAGTGTATGTAGTGAAATGATTTACTGTTGTAGTATTAGAAAAAAGGCGGGTGGTTAGCTGGTGTATAGACTTGGCTGCTGTCACATGGCTTCATTTCCGTTTCTCATAGAACTTGTTGTTAACTCTTCTCAAAATGAGACCATATATCCATGTGTTTAGTGTTCATTAACATACATTCCTATTGTACAATCTATTAGCTTGACCATTTTGGTGCGATTTTGGAAATGCTTTGATCTTTATCCTGAAAGATTATATATTTTCAATCTGTATTGATATCTACCTTAGCTTACACTTTAAAAAATAATTAATTAATATAAAATGTCAGAAGGAATTCTCATTCTAGACTGATAGAGTCATTGGGATTATCCGTTTGAACCAAAAAGAAAAATATCTTGACAGTAGATGTTCAATATTGCCTGCTTATTGTTGAAACTACTGCAAATTCTGCACAAAAAACCACCAGAATATCCCAAGAATTTGATTGTTTTCAGTGGGAGAAAATGTTAGATGAACTGAATCAACCTTTTGGGATTTCCTTACCTGAATGATTGATCATCGTGTAATTATGTGACAGATAGCTGTCGTTAGCCATTTTATGAAACTGTCATATTTAGGCTTGAAAAGCAAACAAAATTTTACAATTTCTGTATTTAAAAATTCCAACAAAATAACCTGTAAAAATGTCTAAAGATATCAGAGTAGTGGAGTTTTTGAAGCTTAAAGTCACGAGTATTTATAGAAGTTCTTTTCCTTCCTTCTTTGAGTGTTTAAATCTGAGAGAATATGTACAGTGTTGCTAAATGTGTTTTTGTATTTATTTGACAGCATTACAAGTTGTACAGACAGAAGCAGTAGATAAATCACCTCAGGACGTCTTTGGATACCTCGGAGAAAACATCACATTGCCCTCAGCAGTCGACTCATCGTGGAGTCTCATCAGAATTGAGTGGTCAATATTCACCAACATCACTTTGATTGCCACTTATCGCAACGGGAAAATAAACACTGAACGTGTCCCTCAGTACACAGGGAGACTCACTCTTAACACAACATCAGGTGACATTTATCAGCTTTTTTATTGCAAAGGAATTGTAGTTTTATTTCTTTCTTGATTTAGTTTCAATGTATTTTATTGTATAGGTGACCTAACAATTCACAAACTGAAGGAAGGTGATGCCATTGAATACACTGTAGAAGTCTTCAACAGTGAGGGTAAACGCAAAACGAATCAGATCAAAATTACGGCAAAACGTAAGTGATGTATAAATAAAACTGTATTAAAAATAAAAAAGGACACACACACACACAAACCATTATCACAAACAAACTTGCCTTTATTTTGAATGCATACATGCTGCATAAATATAAAAATTTGCCATCTACAATCAAATATAGTGCTTGATTTTAAATTAAGCTACACAGGCTTGTCTTTACTTTTTGTGAATTTCTCATTTTTACTCTCCATCCTTGCAGAAAAGCTCCAGCAGCCATCCATCCAGATAGTCATGAGCACATCTGTAGAAAGTGGCTGTTTAATGGTGGTGACCTGCTCTTCTCTGGATAAGGGTGTTAACCTCTCCTGGAGTGTTGAACCAGCAAGTGTGCTCACTATCAACAAGAGTCATCCCAGTGACAGCTCTGCACAGCTTTTTGCATTTGTCAACACCAAAGAGAACTTTGCCAGTTTTACCTGCATCTCCAGCAGAGATACAGAGAGTGTTTCATCCAAACCTGTCACACCAAAGTGTGAGAGTAAGATCTGTGGTAAGTTGTTGAATAGGACACTTTCTGTGACATACAAGCATAGCTGAGATGAAGATTAAACAAAAGATGTGTGATCCAGTATTTGATGCTGTAAATGGTAAATGGCCTGTATTTGTATAGCGCTTTACTTGGTCCCTAAGGACCCCAAAGCGCTTTACACATCCAGTCATCCACCCATTCACACACACATTCACACACAGGTGATGGCAAGCTACATTGTAGTCACAGCCACCCTGGGGCGCACTGACAGAGGCGAGGCTGCCGGACACTGGCACCACCGGGCCCTCTGACCACCACCAGTAGGCAACGGGTGAAGTGTCTTGCCCAAGGACACAACGACCGAGACTGTCCGAGCCGGGGCTCGAACCGGCAACCTGTAATCAGTGCATCTTTGAAACACTTTATTAGTCTGCAGTGAGTTTCTGCAGCAGGTCACAATTTAAGATGAACTTTAATAGTAATTGGGCAGTGTTGCCTCTAATTTTCATGTCTCTGAGCGGTCCCTTGGACCAATGTGAACAACATCAGTCATGCCAGCATCGAATTCATTCAAGTTATATCATTAATTAAAATAATCAAATGACAGGATTTACATTTCTGTTAGAATACTTTTAATTAAGTGCTTTAGCCCACTTACAATGAAATTTTAAAAAAGTCTTGTTCATGACCTGTGTAGTATGTTAACACTATTGGAAGTAAAAATAACTTGAGCACCAATTTTGACTTGTATTATGAGTATGACTGTGTGTGAAGCTCCTGCTGTGCGCTAACCCCCTGATTGTGAGGAAGTCCTGTAACTCTTTGTCACAATCAGGGGGTGTAACAAACTATTTACAGAACAATCAGGTGTTCTGCATCAAATAAAATGCCACACAAATTATTTGTGCCAATCCAAAGAATAATTTCTGTCCACTATAAGATAAAGGAGCACATAACAAGCCTGATACCTGCAGGCCTGACAGAAGGAGGTATATCACCACCTATAGACAGCGTTTACACTGTAATCTGCATTTGGTGGCTTTTTGGCAGCAACTGTGACATTCAGCAGTCACCTTAATTTTTCTGTCTGTCCTGTTCAGATCTCCAATGGTTGCACACGTTGTTGTTAGCCTGTCTTCACTCCACATCGGCCACACTGCTAAGCTAGCTAAAACACTGGTAGTGGCACATAGGGACGCTGTTATGGCCTGTCAACATTGATTACCTGCTTAAATACGAATGTGAATCGCATCATTGGCTGGAGCAGTCAGGCACAGGTCACTCACACTGCAAAACAGCACAGAATGAATTGTTATGTATTTATTTTCATTTCAATTCAGGTTGGATTTTTTTTTTTTTTGTGCACAGCACAGATTTTCTGTGCATGGAGACCATGTCACCTATGCACGACTGCACATGTGCGCAGCTTAGTTCTTCTACATTAAAGTCTGTTCCACAGCATAGGTAGGGGAGGATTGTGTTGAGAGATTTCATTGGACAATACAATCTCAGGATGAAAATGAACAAACGGGCTGCTTTAAGGCTGGTACGCAGGAGCTCTTCAATTGACCCATGAGCCCAAATGATCTTATTGGAAATGGTTTAACATGAATAGTCATGTAAAATGTGGAGTCTAGAGAATCAGAGAATGTGAACCAAGGAGGGGAGAGAAGGTGGGATTATAAATGTGAAACAACCACTTTCAGCAAATCTCCAAATCAACAATAAATTCACAATAGTTTTGTAGCAATTCTTTAAGTAACACTGCAAGTAGTAATTCAGCTCTGAATGCAATAATGTGAATTCTGAATCAGCCTCAGGTACAAATGTGAACTCTGCAGACACTGGACATATTGGCTGCAGAGGGGCAGACAAGGGGCGATCGTGGCTCAAGAGTTGGCAGTTCGAGCCCTGGCTCAGACAGTCTCGGTCATTGTGTCCGTGGGCAAGACACTTCACCCGTTGCCTACTGGTGTTGGCCAGAGGGGCCGATAGCGTGATATGGCAGCCTCACTCCTGTCAGTCTTCCCCAGGGCAGCTGTGGCTACAACTGTAGCTTGTCTCCACCAGTATGTGAATGTGAGAGAGAATGAATAGTGGAATTCTAAAGCGCTTTGAGGGTCTCGAAAAGTGCTATATAAATTCAATCCATTATTATTAGTAGTAGTAATCAGATTAAATGTGGAGTAAAATGTGTGATACTGTCCTTAAAGTTTCAGTTTTTTGAAACTGATGAGCTGAATCACTTTTTATACGATTGGGCTTTAGTTATGTTCTGTTGCTGTTGTGGTGTCTAAATAAAATAATGAGCCTCTTAAATTTCAAACACATGCAGCTAAAATGTGAGAATCTGTAAGTTTCCCTGATAAGATCAGTTCTTAAACTGTGATTAAAGAATGAAAGTGTAAAAGGTAACAAAGCATCATCACATCTTTGGCACCATTATTTCTTTGTTTTTCACTTTTGAAGTCGTATTTGTTCTAATTTTGTTTCAGGTCCATAAAAAGATTAGTTCAACAAAACTCAAGACTCACGAACAACATCAACAACAAAATCTAACTCATCAACATTTTGACAACGTTTAGAGACCTGCCAGCATCCAGATCAACAGCAATTCTATTAAACAATGACATGCTGTTGGTTTAATGTCAGCACTGGAAGATTGATAATATGGTTCATCTTTGTATTAAAATCTTATTGTGTTCATTTGTATGTAGTAAGTGGAGGTTGTATGGTGTGGGACATTGTTTCATCGAGACATAATTTCGATATTTTATTAGACAAGTTTGATTCAGCCTCTTTTTTTATTTCTTTAACATGTACCTTCACTTTTTTTCAAAATTTTTATATGTTATCTCTACAGCTTACTGGACATGCTTATTTTTCATTTCAGTAAAAAAAAAAAAACTGTTAAAAATGTTCAGATACAACATGAAGCCAAATCATGATACAGATTTTACAGATTCAAGTCAGAGATCATGGGAGAGAAAATTTTGTGTACAATCAAAGTGATTGTTTTCTGTAGGTGATGTTTGTGGGTTTTTTATACTGTGTACAGTTTAATGTGTGTAAAATAATTGTGGTCCTTTTAAAAAAGTAACATTTTCTTCAAAATAAAATAAAATAAGGTTACATCACGCTTTTTTGTTCCTTCGAGTGACCTTTGATGCTCATGAGTGGAACCTTCAGCGGGCCCAGGTCTGGAGTTGGAGGGCTAGTCCTTGACTTGTCTCCTTCTTGAACAACTGTTGATGAAAGCTGCTCCTCTTGGTTCGTGAAAGTTTGAGCGTTGATGGATTTTCTTTTGCGCTGAACTTTCTCGGCTAGACACCTGAGGACCTGGTTGTGTCTCCATGTGTATCTGCCCTGAGTAAGGCTAGTCCTACAAGCAACCAAGATGTGCTTAAGTAAATACACTTCTTCCCTGTTTATAGCCCTTCACTGTAAATTAACTTCCTTCACTTTAACCCCCAAGCTTCGGTGTTTTCTCTCCTTGAGTCCACCCGTAGCTACACCTAACAACAGGCTATCACCCTAAGCCCTGCTGGGAAAAGGTGGAAAAGTGACCCTCTCACCTGGGACAAGAGGACCTTCAGAAAAGGGAGTCCTGGCCAGGAGTAGTGGGACAGCTGAAACCAGGGCATGTGAGGCCAAAGTGGGGCGACCAGGATCAACCTCACCTCCTCGATCTGGACCTAGTAAAGAAATGACTGGAGGAGGGAGTATGGAGGGAAGGCAAAAGGGTTTGCCAGGTTGACACACGCAGGGACCTCGTTCTGCAGGTAGACGAACCGATGGAAATTATGTTGACTTCCTGGAAAAAAAAAGAAAAAGGTTGATTTCTGCCCTGTCTGTTCTGACAATGACATGGTGCCAGTGTTGGAGAGTAACAGAATACATGTACCGTCGTTACACATTTAAAATACAAAATATGAGTAATTGTATTCCGTTACAGTTACCATTTAAAAAGGTGGTATTTAGAATACAGTTACTTTGTTGAAATAAATGGATTAAATGGCGGTATTTTCCTGTTTCATATTGTCGCAGGTCAGGACTGTTTGGGTTTTGTTTGACAGCTATGTTCTGTTGTTCCAGGCGGCACGTTACGGTTGCCATGGTTACAGGGTGACATGCTCTCTCTACGACTGTGTTTCCTGGGTGAGAGAGCACCTTTTTGTTGTTGTTGTTGTGCTAAGCTAATAGGCAGAATGCTACAGGCATAGCCCCAAAGAATGTAGCCTCATGGGCAGTGTAGTCCGTGCTGCAGGGAGAATGGACTGCCATACCCGTTATGTGTCTGTGAGCGCGAGGAGGGATAAAAAGGAAAATTACGAGCTGTCATCGAGCAAAAACGGGAACTGGAAGCATGTAAATATAATAATAACCACTGGAGCCAAAAAGATTGCCTGACGAGCCCAGTTGTAAGTACGCTATTAAGACTCGACTGTACACTGTGTTCGTGTTTTCCCCCGAAAAAATAAGTTCTGTTGGAGCAGCCTTTCAACTCCTCTCTCTGTCTCTCGCTAGCAAACTTGACCCAGACCAGGGGTGATTCTAGGATTAGAGCTGCCCACTTTTAATGTGTATGTATAATATAATACAGATACATAAAAAAACACTCCCAAAACACAATAAGTTATTACAAATAAAAATCTTTACTGCAGACACTAATTTTACTAATTTAATAATACTAATTGTGTATTGTAAGATTAAGGGGTTTCATGCTTTCATAGTGGTCCTTGGGAGAGCTTGACATTTTTATCAGGTGGTACACACTGTAAAAAGTTTAAGAAACACTGATAAGTGTATGTGTGCTTTTGGAAAATATTTAAAGCTGCAGTACAGAATCTTTTAAACAAGCTATCTTAAAACATTTTTAGAAACAGAGCACTCTGCTTCTCTTTACAGCTCCTCACTCCACCAGGGCACCGTTTGGCACTTTCTGATAGTGTGCAAATGTGATCTACGTACTGCGGCAGTCATACAGACAACTGGACGGTCCAAAAGTTGGCCTACATATTACTGGCTGAGGTTTTAGTAGAGTTGTGGCTGAACCACATAAAAATATATCATTAATTTTAATCTCCCCAACCAATGATAATGTTATGTTGGAATGTTGTTAAAGAGGGTCAAAAATGTTTCAACCCAGTTTGTTTTGCAGATTCTGTACAGCAGCTTTAATATAGGGAGAACACAACTATATGGACTGTCCATGGATAACAAAAGGTCTGCAAAATGCATGTATAAAGAAAAATGCTCTATACAGAGAGTTCTTAAGAACGAGAACTAAAGATGCTGAAATCAGATACAAAAGATATAAAAATAGGTTAACTAATATACTTAGATTTAGTAAAAAGGAATACTATAAGAAGCAATTAGATATAAATAGAAATAATAATAAAAGATTATGGGAAATCCTGAACAGTGTTATAAAATGTGGGACTGGACAAAAGAACTATCCCAAGTATTTCATTTGTAATGACCATGAAGAATACAATATGGATGTTGTGGCAAATAGTCTCAATGAATTCTTTGTAACTGCTGGACCAAATTTAGCAAGAACAATCACTCATCCTGGGAAAGCACAGGAAAAACCCGATACACTGACAGAAATCCATATTCTATGTTTCTCACAGCCGTTGATGAAAATGAAGTTCTTGAAATTGTCAAAAAATGTAAAAATCACAAATCTTTGGATTGTAATGATATTGATATGATAGTGGTTAAAAGAGTCATTGAGGCTATTATAAAACCATTTACATACATCTGTAATTTATCATTTCAAACTGGTCGATTTCCAGACAGAATGAAAATAGCAAAAGTTATACCTCTATACAAATCTGGAAACAAACACCATTTCACAAACTACAGGCCTGTCTCTTTACTACCTCAATTCTCAAAAGTTCTTGAAAAACTGTTTAAAAACAGACTGGAAAAATTTATAGATAAACATAAACTACTCACTGAGAGTCAGTACGGATTCAGATCAAGCAGATCAACATCATCGGCACTATTAGATTCAATAGAATACATCACAAATTCCATAGACAAAAAGCAATATGTGGCTGGGTTATTCATAGACTTGACAAAGGCATTTGACACTATAGATCATGATATATTAATAAGAAAACTGGAACGTTATGGTGTCAGAGGGGTAGTTTTAGATTGGGTCCGGAGTTATTTAAGTGACAGAAAGCAGTTTGTGAAAATAAATGGTGGTTGCTCCTTATGTATGGACATTGCTTGTGGTGTACCCCAAGGGTCAGTTTTGGGTCCAAAATTCTTCAACTTGTACATTAACGACATCTGTAAAGTGTCCAAAGTATTAAAAATGGTTCTCTTTGCTGACGATACAAACATTTTTTGCTCTGGTGATGATCTGCAGAATTTATTGGAGGATATGACTAATGAAATAAGTAAAGTGAAGTTCTGGCTTGATAAAAACAAATTATCATTAAATTTGAATAAATCTAAACTTATGTTATTTGGAAATAGTAGTTTAAATACAAATGCAAAGATTCAAATAAATGGTGTTGATATTGAAAGAGTCAGTGAAAATAAATTTCTGGGGGTAATAATCGATGTAAGATATATTCATTCCAAAGTATCACGAAGCATTGCAGTACTAAACAAGGCAAAACAGGTATTCGACAGAACATCACTTCATATTCTCTACTGTTCACTGGTTTCACCATACTTAAGCTATTGTGCAGAGGTCTGGGGCAATAACTATAAAACCACATTACATTCACTTTTTACTCTTCAAAAGAAAGCAATTCGAATCATCCACAATGCAGGTTATAGGGAACATACAAACTCACTATTTTTGCAGTCTGAAATATTGAAAATTGACGATATAGTGAAATTCCAAACAGCACAAATTCTATTCAAAGCAAAAAATAAAGAACTGCCAGGTAATATTCAGAGTATGTTTTTTTGAAAGAAGGAAGTTATAATTTAAGGGGTTTTTGTAACTTCAAAACAATGAAGGTACGTACTACAAGAAAAGGCTTTTGTGTTTCTGTTCAAGGAGTGAAACTATGGAACAAACTGAATATGGAATTAAAGCAATGTCCAAACATAAAACTGTTCAAAAAGAGTTATAAAAATATGATCTTCTCGATCTATAAAGAAAAGGAAAATATTTAAATTAAGTGAATGTCTCTATTTAAAAACAAACAAACAAAAAATTCATGATGTGATATTATAGTATATAGTATATCAGAAATCTGTTCACTATTTTTATTACAAATTATATCAGTAAGGAAGCTGACTAAATATTCACTGATAATTTATGGGACAGGGGTGGGATTAAATAAGTGTATACTTCTTCCCACTCCCTTTCAACATGTAAATTAATCAGAATGTTTTTTTGTATGTAATTTGTATAGTATATTTTTTTCCTCTCATTTCTTTTCTAAATGTACTTGTATATTGTTCACATGTTGAAATAAATTACCAGTCAATCAATCAATCAATCAATCAATCAACTTCCAGATTGTGTGAGTAAAATCAAGATTTTTTTTCTTTGTCAGTTTAACAGTTTCTGTTGTGCCTGTCACTGTTCCCTGTCTGTTTTCTTACCTGGTTCTTCCTGACCTTGTACTTTCTCCTCACGTTCCCCTCTTTCCTCGCTCCCTCTTTGGATTCACAATCATACACAGATAGATTGTATTCAATTAGATGAAAAATTACATTAATATGAAAAAATACTATTAAGATCACTAACAAAAAGTCCTCTCTCAGTGTGCTTTCAACCAAAAGGAAAATAACCAAACCACATGAACATCTAATAAAAATATAAATATTGAAACACTGATCCAACATTATTCTTGATTAACGAATCGTTTGATTTTACACTTTTACCTGAATGTGGCTCCTTTAAAAAAAAAAACAACTTCCTGGCTGTCTCTCTGTACAAAAAAAACGGTAAATGGCCTGTATTTATATAGCGCTTTATTAGTCCCTAAGGATCCCCAAGCGCTTTACACATCCAGTCATCCACCCATTCACACACACATTCACACACTGGTGCTGGCAAGCTACATTGTAGCCACAGCCACCCTGGGGTACACTGACATGTGTGCGCCCCAGGGTGGCCCC